AAGTGATACGTCCACGGGTTATTTCACAGCTGTGTTTCCTGTCCCTGTCGTGTTCTGCTGAATCGGCAAAACGAAAGGGTCACAAATCACTTTATCTCGGTGGCCGTGTTTCTCTTTAAAGTAGCGATAACCGGCCTGCGATTAAATATCATGTAATACGGTAATTGTCAATTTTTCGACGTATTGGAAATGAATTTGTAAATTGAAAGCCTCGTAGACGAATGTCGGCAATGTCCACCCACACAAACGTGCAAATGTGTCGCAACACTATGCGACGTACGGTCGCACAGAATTTAAACAAAGTGCCGATTCTATTTCATCGTCATTACAATACGTGAGACAGCGTAAAAAGTCGTTTGAAGATTCCCGTGAAACGAAACACCACGTTTACGGCGAAAAGTGGCTATTATTCGGAATTATTCGAAAATAAGCCGAAAAGGTATTCGAATACTTTGATATTCGAATACATTCGAATATTCGATTCGTTTTGGACAACCCTGGGCCTAGAATGCTTTTTAGCTTTTAATAAAGACTCTTTGAAACCCACGTTGATCTTCTGATGATCTATAATTGCAGCAAATTTGAAAAAATCTGTCATTAAATAATTTTGGTTTCCCGAAGTGGCGGACAATCTGAACATAGTATGTGTACCAGGTTAGGGTTATCAGGTTGTGCACCAAGCCATCTTGGTGCACATACTTCTGGAGCGCCATAATTTAACCCGAGTACAGAGTTAAAAGTCTTTAAAAGCATGGAATGAATTAAAAAAAAGCAGAGTATGTTCACTACAGCACCATGCTAGCGAGTCTAGAGTCTTGTTAGTGAAATTGAAGTAAACAGTCTCGATATTTAAAGTCTTTGGAAGCAAGAAATGAATTGTAAAAGTAGGGTGTGTTCACCACAGTACCATGCTATTGAGAATCTTGTTAGAGCTGGTATAAAGTGAAATCAAAGTATACACGAAAGTGAACACTAATCAACAGCCTTGCAATGAGCTAATATAGATAAAATCATATAGTTTCATACCTGACCATCAACGAGCTCAAATCCATTCTCTGTTTCGGTCATTGTGAGTGTGATTTCAGAATCCTCTCCCTTCTTCACTGTTTCAATAATCTGGAATATTTATTCATTAATTATACAAAAGATGTTAAATTGGGACAAATTATGATATCTGTCACATAAACCAGGGGTGTGCAACCTTTAATACAGGAGGGCCAGATTCAAATAACTGGGTGAAACCGCGGGCCGAACACTTATTTAACATAGGCTTTTTGTAGTTGTAGGGACGAAACTACTGGTTATTGGTCTTATGACATGCGTTGTTCGCTTCGCACAAGCTAGCTGTTAGGGCATTGTAACATCCTAGGCATGGATATTAAGTTGGACTCAAGTATAGGCTATGCAACGCAAAGGGATTGGAATTACTTTTAGCAGATTAAATAAAATTGAAAACTCGTATCACAGGCCACACCTCATTCAAATTTAGCACTTATCCACGGGCTGCATAATTTTTCTGTGTGGGTCACATTCGGCCAGCGGGCCGCAGTGATATAAAACCATTGAGTAGTTTCAACTTTCCAGTATGCATCTCACATTTAGTTGAAGACTTGGGATCTTTTGCAAGAAAACATGCAACTCCTCTATCAGTGGAGAGTGGTTCCAAAGTCTAATATCACATTTTCACAAATTTTATTTTGTTACATTTCGTATGACTAAAATCAAAACTACTATGAAATACAGGGTGTCCATAAAGTCCCTTTGAATTTTGTTATGAAAACAGGTCTCAATATATCTCAACCAGGTTTGTTGTCTTTTAATCAGTAATTGTTTAGGTATTTTTACTTTATTTAATACATCTGTGAGGGCCAAAACAATGTATAGCATCGATAAATTCCGTTTGCAATTTTATAAATTTTAGAACTTTACGGACACCTTATAAATGTTTTGTCGGCAAGGGACCTTGCTTTAACCTAGACTTATTTTGAAACTTGAATTGATATTCAGGTTGTAACTTCAACCTCACAGCCACACAAAGTGCTGTTTTTAATTTTTTGTGAAAACTTTTTGATTAATTGTATTGCCTTGCCTTTAAAACGCTTGTAACACTCGACAAGAGTTTCCTAAATTAGCAAAGTTTATTTATGCATGTACAATGCACAACATTCAGTATTTTACGAATGTCATGGTTATATTCAGAAACATGCAAAATTTTATTATTCTGTGATAGGATTTCCATTTTTATTTAGAGAAAAAGAGAGGGGAAAACCAGTAAGATGACTCTACTAAAATGATGAAGCCCCGTCTCTCAACTGGATACCAGTCAACATTTTGAATAAATAATTCTGATATTTCAAATTTTTGTGTTTAACCTAAACGAGGAAGGACAACAAAAGCGCCTAATATATGGCAAACTGTGGCCTCGCCCATGTCACAGAGAAATAATATTACATGACAAACTGTTTCTTAGTTAGGATAGTCTTAAGATATGGACAGATCCCGAAGACACAATATAAGAAGATTGATGAAAAGCTTGTTTGCCGCCTAAGCTCGAACCGGGGATCTCCCATGTGTAAAGCGAACGTGGTAACCACTACACTACAGAGAATGACCTATTAATATAAAGATATTCAATCTACATAAAAGTTGTATATTTTGGTCCCAATTCCAAACTATTTATTTCCGATCTATTAGGTTGGTTGCATCACAAGTTAATAAAATCTAGAATAATAAAGGTAATCTAGTTAATAAATTTGGAATGTAATGTCTGACCAGAAAGATAAAGACTTTAGAATCAGTAAATTCATGTGTAACAGTGAAGTTTGTTTAAAGCGGAGGTGCATAAAACGATTTGGTATGAGAAAAACTTTAACACAGCTAGATGTCTGAAGTTATATGGCCCACCTACAAAAATGTTGTATAATCCTCATCAAAATAGCTTTTAACATAATAGTGCCAACTTTCACAAAGTTTTGTTCAGAGTGGAAACAGTTCTTTCATAATAAGAAAATTTTTAACCTTTTCTGCTACTTGTTTGACAATCTCTTTCGTTGGTAAAGTTTTCAGAATAATGACAACTTCAGCTAAGTTGTTGCCTTTTGTCATTGTTCCTTTCTTGAAGTCTCCGACCTATGAAAGAATAAAATAATGAGCTATGGCTGAAAAGAAATATTCTTATCGAAAACAAAGTAGGAGAAATTTACCCTATACTAAGATTTGAAACTTGAACATTTAAAAAGCGATTATTATCCGAAAATTCTAATTGCCAAGATAAGACTATAACAGCTAGCAAGTCCAGTCCGACCCGCAAATACATCTTTCCTGGTTCTGAATATATTGAGTTTAAAAATACAACTCTGTCCCTGACTAAAATATTAATAAATCCATACATAGCTCAGTTGGAGATTCAGAAAAGTCACTCAAATCAAAAAAAAAATTAGGTCTGAGTGAGTGACGCTTGTCCAGAATTTTGTTTAAAAAAAAATGGAAAATCTCGTAATTCTCTACTTCGTAATTTTCTTTCTGATAGATGAAAGTAAAATTCATCTCCCCAAATAAGCCCTATTGTTATTTTTCGAGAGAAAATTAAAATAATACCCCGTCTCATTTTTGTGGAAACACGATAGTAGCCCAAGAACTAAACAAAACTTACTTGTCTGCATTCATCGACTTGAATATCAAACCCAGCAGGCTGTGATACAATGATGGAATCGATTGCATTGCATATTTTAGTCACGAACGACAGTATTGACGCTTGCTCTTCCGAAGTCACGTTCAAGTCTTGGTTTCGTTTTATTAGAGCCTGTAGGAAAGTGAGTAAAAACTAATTACTGTTTGAAATATGATAGATATCAAATTTTTGATAAAACAGGGTTTCAAAATAGAAATTCCTGTATTGAAAAATTAAAATAGTGGAAATAACGATTCGGAAATGTTATGATTATTAGGTAAAAAAAAATGTTGAATTAGACTCCCCATATCGAAGAAAAAACAGTAAGCATTTTATGATAAAAAAATATTTATATATTAAAACTAAGGATGAAGGTGACCGTATATTTGAACCCATGTACATTTGAACCCATGCGTAAATCCACGGGTTCAATCTAAATGCGGGTGCTAAAACCCATGGGTTGGGGTTAGTATGGGTTTAACTATCCGTGAAACAAAAAAAATTCCATAGGTGCAATAGCATACAGGTGCAATTGTCATGGGTTCAAATGTACGTGGGTTCAAATGTAATGGAACCAAGGATGAATGATACGGGTTATTTAATTTAAAAAAACAAACAGTCCACGAGTCTCTGAGACGAGGGGCGTATGGCACGACGGCAGATGCGTCTTATCGCACCATGCTCGTCTAGATAACAATCTAAATCGGGGCATTTAGATTAGTGCAACCTCATTAGGATATGATACGATTTACATATTTATCCCAGGGGAGAGGAAAGCCGATAAGACGGCTTATCCATATAACAAACCACGGCCTCTCATCCGGTTACCATTCCAAGTGATTAGGGATTAGTTATATCCGAGGGATTAGTTATATTGTTTGTTTTCGGTAGCATGGACTTGGTGGTGGAGGAAGCCGTTACTGACCAGCGGTTACGTGAACCACCCAACGACGGCGAGGAGTCCAGCAATCCTCTCGCACATAACCATCCCTGCATGGGATTCAAACCTGCGAACCCACGTAGAGTAATTAGAGGTGCGGTGGCGAGCGTATTCCTAACGCCTAGCCCGTTGAGCCACACTGCCGCGCCTATTATAATATATTTTTACCAATATTGATAAAAAACGATCTCTTGACGTCCCCGAAAAGAGGGTGTTTGCTCATCAACAGAATGGAATTCTCTAAAACGAGACAATGACTCTCGATCTGTAAAGTGTGCCGTACTGACCTGGGTAAAAGCTTCGTCATCAGGTGCTGGCTTCACTCTTGGGAAAGCTTGTTCACACATCACAAAATCAAATGGAATGTGAGGCACAAACACTCTGTTTGTGAGTGGAGGTGGTGACTTTTCTACGGCCCATGGGCCGGGGCCACGGCCCACCTGAATGGGCCGCGGCCCATTATCAATGGGCCATGGCCCATGGGCCGCGGCCCATCAGGTAATATGCCGCGGCCCATCAGGTAATGGGCCGCGGCGCATCAGGTACCGGTAATGGGCCGCGGCCCATCAGGTACCGGTACCTACCGTACGGTACCGGTAATGGGTCGCGGCCCATCAGTTTCGCGGCAGATTTTTAAGACTGAATGAGCCAGTAGACTATCGGTCTGTCAGTACCGCACCGTACCGGTATTAAATGTGCTGTTTTTCTGTATCAGTCCAGTGTACTGACAGACCAGCAGACTGAGATGTTTAAATTCTGAGTTACCTGTACCGGTAACAGATTTAGCTTTTGAGCAGGCTGGTGCGGTACCGGTATCAAGTCTAACGTTATACTGTTATAGCTGTAACTTACCGGTACCGTACCGTATCGGTACTGTATTTCAGTACCGGTACCGGTATTTTGTATTCAATCTGTCATTAGCATCTTTTGATTCCGTGATTGTTTTACAGAAAAGCATTGGTTAAAAATATATTCTGGTATTGGTCTATCGTTTTTAAAATTATCATGACTGAGACATGTTTCAAAGGTCAATCGAAGGTTGAGCTTATGGAAGAGTTAGTGAATTGCTATGTTGGTACCGGTACCGGTATTTGTCCATTTTGTACTGGTGTTAAAGGAGAAGATTCCTTCATAAAAAATCATTTGAAGCATTGTCATATAGACAATGCAGTTTCATTTCTCAACGGTGAGTAACCGTACCGGTATGTTTATATACATTTCACTGTTTCATGTCTAACTATGCATTCGTACAGTTCTTTGTTTAATGAATGTTAGGGTTTTTCTGTTTTATTTGAATGCCCAGGGTACCGGTAAGCATGGGGTTATTTGAAGGGTTGTTATAAAATGGCTACCGGTACAGCGGTAGGATAGGATTTACATATTTATCCCGGGGGAGAGGAAAGTGACTGCTTATCCATATGGCGAACCACGGCCTCTCGTCCGGTTACCATTCCAAGTCGGGTATGGGATTAGTTATATTGTTCGTTTTCGGAAGCATGGACTTGGTACCGGTATGTCCGCTATGTCACTACTAAAATGACTATGTACCATTATACTATGCCCCTACTACTGAAAAGGTGATGTCCGCTATGTTCCTACTAAATTGACTATTTCTGTGCGTCCAATCTGAAAAAGCGTTACCGAAATGTCCCTACTAAAAAGGCGATGTGCACTATGTCCAATATTAGCAAGGACTCATCGGTATCGCTATTTTAGAATGGACATATCCATTTTAGTTGGGACATGCGGACATAGTCATTTTAGTAGGAAAACATCGGGATCACGATTTTAGAATGGACATAGTCATTTTAGTAGGGATATATTGGGATCACGATTTTTGAAGGGACATAGCTATTTTAGTAGGGACATGTCAGACATATCAATTTTAGTAGGAACATAGCGGAACATGGTCATTTTAGTAGGGATATATTGGGATCGTGATTATTGAAGGGTCATAGCCATTTTAGTAGGGACAGCAGAACATAGTCGTTTTATAACTACCCTTATTTGAATGCTATGCAGTCAACAAATTTATCATACAACTTCCATGATTTTGTAAAGTGTCATTCAACTATCATTTATATGAAAGTTATTGTATTTCAGTTCTGATTCTTCCTTGTCGAAAAGAAGAATGCTATAGCAGAAGGAGCAAACAAGAATCATATCGAAGCCATTTCCACTGTCCTTTCTGTTTTAACGTTTACGGAAGAAAAGCACATATGCTGCGGCATCTGAACAGATTAAATGGTTTGTATAAGTTTTAGCCATGTTTTAGATTACATATCGTTACACCCTGTTGTGCTATCTTTTTAGTTTACATTTATATTTTAGTTTCCAGGAATTAAAATGTGGTCAGTGTGGTATTGGGTTGCATTTTTAATCTTTTTGGCACTCGTATATATCTAAGTTGTTGTTTGATATGTCGGTTAAATGTTTACTTATTTGATGTGACGGCAAGTTTGTAATATTTGTTTTGAACATACATTTTTTAGCGCTCCCGTAACATGTGAACCAAGATGATGGACACCGGAGCATAATATGTGTTAGGGTTAGGCCATAATTTTGTTCCAATTTTTCTTATTTTAGTTCTATTACGAGTTCGGGAACTAGTCAAGTACATCCCATAGTATTTCTACCTAAAATAATGGCCTAACCCTAACTTGGTTCACATTTTACGAGAGTACCACTTTTTTTGTTTAGTCTACCTTATTTTTTTGTACTAGCTGAATTTAGCTATATTTTTGTTCACAGGAAAATGTGGTGAAGTCAAAGGTAGGCAGTCTTGGAGTGCGAAGTCGCAAAATGTTGATTCGAAAGGTCTGTTTTGAAAATACATTGTTATAGATTTTTGTCTACTTCAGTAGAAAGCTTGTTCACATCAGTTATTGTTGCAGGTAAACATATCAATGATGAAAAAAACCGGCATGAAAACAATCTTGAAAGAGAGTATACGCATGGTATGTGTACAATTAAATTGTTTGGCTCATTAAGTCTGATCACATGTTTGACTTTTTTCCATCAGTATTATGTAAAGTTGGACTCACTTCCTCATAGGTGATGCTGCTCGATAACCATCACTAGTTTATCGCGTCTCCCTTCACACAGAAAAGCAATTTTTATTTCTCCTAATTATGTTTGTCCAATGTGTACTTTCGGAATTTGATAAAATTAAATACTGACTGACTTCACCGATAGTGGATCATACATTTCTTATTATCTTCATGTGAGTGAATGTCTTCATGCTACTGAAGATATGCATATCTGGCCCAGTAGTAGGGATGCGACAAGATTCGGACTCGTGCTTGGATTCATGGCCGAATCTCTGGTAATTTGATACTCGGATTCGGCCCGAGCCTTTGATGATTTTACCCGAGTCCGGAATATCATAAGTCACGCGATAGTCAAGTGCAGACTGGTGGCGGATTAGACGAGAAATTCAACTTTTTCGTTCTGTTTTGCCACGAGACTGTCCAGCCTATTTTCTCTACGGTGAAATTAAAACTAGGTGCCAAAACTACAAATTCACGACGCCGCAAAATATGTCAGCGAAAGTCAGCTGAATAAATTCCAGTGTTGCGTGTAGCTTGCCTTCCATTGCCAGACGTCGTTTAGTGAATGTTTACCACGTCCTATTTCAAGCATATACTTGATAATCCTCAAACAGTGATTAATCCGTAATCAGTGGTAACCATGTCGCACTGTTCGCCTTTTATCGTTCCACAAATGATCTAGCCATTTCCGGAGAGAAACAAATGTTAGAAATAAATTGATAAAATAGTGAAAATTACGGTACTTTTGAGAGAAAAGTACAACTCGCAGATGTCAGTGGCGTTACAATCGTATATATGTACAAAAACAATCTCGCAAGTCGCATCGATTAAATGTGCATAAATTTGGAAACTATTACTCGTGGTAATTGAATGTTAATCGGGCCGACTTTTTATTTTTATTCAATAAGTATTTACATATACCGCGATTAGTGACGGGCAAAATCGAATTTTTCCTGATAGAATAATTCGACTATTTCTTTTTATTTACCGATAGTAGAAAATTACTAGAAGACTGGAGACTCGATAAAAAAGCGGCGCCTTTACTTCTTATCTGTAATTTTATCACAATCGCGAATTGTTTTTTTGTCACCACGATTGTTTCGGCGACCGACATCCTAATTATTGTTAGTAAACTATATTTTTAAAGCACCTTTTTTCACTATCAGCTCTCACGCAACGCCGGACATCGAAGTTTCGTTTTTATATTTCAGGCAGAAGTGTGAGTACAAATCGGCGAAGATATTAAAGACAGCTATTAATTAGTGAATTCATAAACATATTAATTTTATTCTGGTCTCATCTTCTGGATTTGATCTTCCATATCACAGTTTGTAAATTACGGTCCCTATTTTAAACGAACAATACCTATCGTGGCTTAAATCTTACCCGTAACTCTCACTTCTGAATTAATGTTAATAAATTCGATTTTGCTTTTCAAAGCGCCGTTATTTGTATTAATGAAAATGATTGCGTCATGACCATGAGTTTGAACAGACAGCCGTAACTTAGCATATAACAAGATTATATTAGATTATAATCAACAATTACACATTCCTAAATTCCGCGGATCCGACAATCGCTATTGATGGTTTTCAAACGAAGAATAGCTAGCTATTTTGTTACGAAATATTTATACATTTATTCGATGCTTCCATAGTTGGCAATTCTTTATCACGGAGATGGGCGTCTGTATCAGCGCCGACTAAAAAAGATAACATATAAGTAAAAATTTCCCATAAAAAATTTGTTCCAAACGTGTGGGTTATGGCCCATATTTATCGTGACAGGACACGAGCGCGGCGTCGCCAGCAGTCGACGCGGCGGTAGATCAGAGTTACGTAACAAAGTATTTATTCCTTCGACGGGGAATAGGACCTATTTATACTAATTTAAACTAGCCGCTCAGCGAATGATTGTCTCGGAAGCAATAGTGTTTATGTGCAACATTTTTAATTACATCGACATAGTCTTATGATACAGAATGAATATACGCGAACAACAGCATCACTTTGGGTATTTATTTCGGAGGTATGTAAAAGTATTGGACTCGGGACTCGGACACGAGTCCAGCGCAAATACTCTGGATTCGGCCGAGCCGAACCTTTTTGGATTCGTCGCATCGCTACCCAGTAGTACATAAAATATCACCGTAATGAGATAAGAAGTATGGAATGTTTTGTTTAGAGATTTATATGAACATTATATTAGTACTGTTATTCAAATGGGCAATATCTTTGAACATTGTATATATTTATTATATCCTCCAAGGGACGGACAGTTTTGAACATTATGTATTTTTAAGCTAATGTTTCATTAAATCAAATCTGTATGCATAGATATGTATGTTGGGGTTACGCAAGACCGGCTACCTTTCCTTTCTTTATTATGCCTTAGCTCAAGTGGATCTGCAAGAGTGTAACGCAAGGATAATGTAGCCAGAATAGAATTGACTATTCGATTTGAGAAACTTGCTGCACGCTAGCACAAATGTATTCCTGTAACCTTTCATCTAACCTAGGTTAGACTTTGGTGGTTGTAAAAAATGAATTTGATGAATATAGTAAATTTTGAAGTCATGAATCAAACTATGAGTTTTTAAACTTCATACAATTGCATTTAAGAAATACTTGTAATATGTAATTGAATTAATGTTGAAATTTGTGAGATGAAAGTTGATTGATAACCCAATTCAAAACACTCCATTACAGATGAGCGCAGTAATTCCAATACAGATCACTTCAATACCGAAAAAAATAGAAACTGTAAAGGTTTGTTTCTACGAACAGTTATGATATATTTTTTTGTGACGCTTACTTTTTGTTTTGCAGCTACTTTTAGTTTTGGTTCTACTGGAAGATGCCCAAGTTCATTATCGAATAGCCTTGACCAATTAGATTTAGAGTGCGGTGCCTCTGTTGTCATTTTGTTCAGCCCTGATTAGAGTGTACTTTGCAACTGTTATCATTTTGTTCAGCTTTGGTTAGAATACTATGCAGCTGTTATTATTTTGTTCAGCGCATTCTTGACCAGTATTGAGATGTACATTTTAATTTAAATAGTGATTTGACATAGCAAGTGCATAAGTTTCCATGAACTTATTGCCTTCGCAGTTTAGATTTAGCGTATTGTGCAGTTGTTATTTTGTTCAGTGCATCTTTAACCAGTATTGAGATGTTGTGCATAGCCAATTTAAATCGTGATTTGACAGTGCAAGAGCATATGTTCTTTTGTTGAAGCAATTTACTATTCTATTCCCAGAGAAAAGAGAAGAAAATTCAATCAGTCATGAGTGTCGTTTTTGTGGGATAAAATTCTTACATCTCATCACATTACGCCGCCATGGCGAGTCTGCGCATTCGATAAAACAAAACAGCCGTCCAAGTATCTGTGTTGATAAAAATAGAGGAATTTACATGGTGGCATATTCATGTAGTGGGTTGTTAGCCCCCATTCATGTTCAAAAAAACATTGAGAAAGGTCTCATATCTTGTGAGAGTGACGAATGCAAGCATATTGTGAAGTTAGCGATGAAGGCTGGTAATCCTGCCTTCGAATGTGAACATTTAAGAGAGGTACAGTTTTCTCAGCCATGTAATATTCAGCCATTGGACAGAGCTTTTCTTTCTAGTTTGATTAAATGGAATGTAATAGATTCAAGAAGAGAGCAAGAATGCATCAACGTCTGGAATAAATGTATACTTGAGGGTGAAATTTTGATAGCTTATGCGGATTTTGGCGCATTGGGATACGCTAAGAGGCAAAGATATTTTTCAGTTTTTTCTGACGTGTCGTATTTTTGTCCCCTTGGTCGCCTCAGAGTGACTTTTGATAATGAAAACGGGCGATGGTCTTGTGTGTGTCCTTTATCTGGAGATGGAAAATCATGTCTTCATGAAATCATTGCCAAATGGTTTTTATGTCAGTACAATCCAGAATTGTTCAACAAGATATCTAAGAGGTATGTTATATATCTGTTCATATTTATATTTAAAAAAAAAGCTAATAAGTTTATTAAACTATAATGTTTTCTTTTGCACTAGAAGTATGATCTTTGTTTATATCTTGCTATTTTTCCATATACAGAACCTCTAACAATGATGGTGCAAATCAGGATGAAAAGTTTATGATGGAATACATCATGAAAAAAAAAATGATTCCAGCAGAAATTAAAAAAGAATACATGGAGTGCTCGCTTCCTAACACCTTCTCTCCCTGTGAGAACTTGTGTCCCAGGTGTAGTCAGGACCTTGAAGTATTCAAAAAATTCAAAGCTACAGTATATGGATTCGGAACTCATTTCACAGGCATCTTTTTCTTTATTTTTTTTATATTGAAATCAAGTTATATCAAACTGACAAATAAAATTTTTGAGTGTTCAGTAGTTTTTTACAACCATCAATCTTTTAAGCAATTTTGTAGGCAACCATGGCTGTTTGAATATCAGAGTTAGCTTATATAATATACGCTTGCTTTTCAATTTTTACATAATCGTAGATTATTATTTACCGCTTGCTATTCAGGTGTTGAAGTACTGTTGAAACGTTGTACAGCTTGTAATTTGAATGTAAGATTTCAGGAGTACAAATCAGGATATCACAATTTTAACAACACAACATTGTTGTCCCTGAAGCTTTGTGTGCACATTTTGAACAGCATAAAGGTGACATTATTCACAGTACATTGTAATTTTGAAAAATTGTTATGAATTTTATAATTCAATGGTTTCCGATTTTTCAGAATCATATTGCCATATCCGCATGCTTGAAGACATTATTTCTTGACCAGGAAAATATCCAGGAGAATGTTATTAGAAATGCGTTTTACCATTTCTGTGCCCTTCAAGACCATCAATATACATTTAGCTGCTTAAAATGTGGTGCTTTTCCCTCAATTTTAATCGGAGATGGAAATTGGAAAAATACTTGTTTGAAAGATAGTGAGGAGCATTTAAAATACTTGTGTTTTATGTTTTTACTATTCTATTATTAAAAAGTATGGCTATTCATTAGTTATTTCAAAAATAATATACAATATTCTATTTATAATCCTTAACTAATGCATTTAATTCATTAAGGTTCATTGAATCAACCTTGTACATTTAAAATGATCCATTATGGAAATATACAATTTAGTTTGAAAGGACTTGTTTATAAGATTGAATTTATATCATCTGAACTTGAAGACCAAATAATGCGTGTTTCAAGTTTTGATCATTATCAATTTATTTTAATACCTCGTGTTTTGTTGCAGTTGAATCAGTCAAAAGGCCAACTGGAATAGTGAGCGAAAGTATTGATTGTGAGAGTAGTTGGTTGAGTTATAAAAAAGAAATAATTGGCCGTGGGATTTGCGGTAAGATTGTACTGTGAACATATTGGAAATTCAATTCACGTACTTACAATTCACATACTTTTAGAAAGAAATTCTGCAAATCCGTGGACAGTTGCAATCAACTACCACACAATTTCTCCATGGCTTGGTAAAAAATCAAGAATTTCAGATGATGTAATTAATACTGAATCACAAAAAGGAGAGCTGTTGTTTGAGAAACCCAAATCCGGTCCTCTGTCCCATCAAAATGTGACACACGAAGATATTCTGAAAACTCTCCACGGTAAAGACAAGGTATATCATCTATTCATTCAAGTAGTCTGTAAGATAATGATCAGTTAGTCATTTAGAATATTTTTGATACCTTGGTGATGGTGCTTCTAGTTGATCCAGAATTCTGAGCCAGTAAATGCAAGATGAAAATTTTAGGTCATGTCATATTCATAAATGTATCTGAAATTCAGGATATAATTGATGCTAAAAAATCTATAATTTTAGGGAATTGTGCTTACCATATCATTTGATGTTTTAAGTCAGTAGTAATGCATTCTGTGAAAAAAATTCTTACCTATATGTTACTTTGTATTTGTTTACATTTTTCAGAATCTTGATTCGTTGAAAACTTTATGTGCATCCCTTGGAGTGAGCAATAAAGGCAGCATGGATGATATAATAAACAGATTAAACGAAATTGTGCTATTCAAAGAGATTCACCCCAAGCTTTATAAAAATATCCAGAAGTGTGGAGGTAGATATTTTTGTTTTATCAGGCTTCTACCTGCTATGTTTTGAGAAGGAGTTTTTTTATTAGACTTCTGTAATATACCCAGGGCCGTCCTTATTTCTAAAATTTGTCCTTATTTGAAGGTCTTTGTCTTGAAAAATATTTTTTGCCTCATTACTAATAAACATCCTTATTTTTACATGTGTCCTTATTTTAGGGGTGGAGGTTTTTATACAGAGCACTTGTTTGGTCAATTCAGATTTGCTAGAAATGATTGAAACCCCATGGATCGCTATTGCTACGCGCATTCATGATGCGATAAAATCAAATTAATTACAATAACAAAATAATAGCCTACCGGCAAAGATCATTTCATGTAACATGAATCAAACTACAGTAGTGAATGAGAGCTTTAATATACCGATAAATGTAAATTTAGTTTAGATCTGGAACCTAAAACTGGAGATAGAATGAGTTGACATGAAACATTACGTACTGTGATGATTATGAGAAAAAAACTTAACGGTCTCGAACGAAATGAAGGGCCAGTGTTTTGAGCAATGCAGCTTTTTTGAATGTGACATTAATCTCGAATCCATTGGTGAAGCAACAATTTCTGCTCACAATGCCACGTAGAAGCACAAGGACTCTGCTCATAAAATCCAATCAAACTAATTTATAAATAACTTTTCCAAGAGTTAATAAATGCACACGAGTTGCACTGGCCTGAACACATTTGTTTATTACTTCGTTCTTTGTTATCTTATTATTATGCCTATTTTTTTATTTATTATTTATTTATTTATTTTATTTGTTTATTACTTCGTTCTTTGTTATCTTATTATTATGCCTATTTTTGAGTTCATATCGATGGCAGCCCGTATATACCAAATTTTTTGAATGATATCTTAATTTTTTCAAATGCCGGTAGTTCATTCCAAATTAATATATTCTGTATAATTGTAATAATGTAACAATTTTAAATTTACAGGAGGAATAGTACATTTCAGATGTACTCATGGTGTCTGCTACTTTATGAAGTATTTACTCCGCCAGGAAAGTGCAAGGGATCATGTCGATGGTTTATTATCTTTCATACGTCAGCCCAATGTTTATATTTCAGACATAGCATCACAGGTTTGGAAGTTTACTTTTATAGGCTACATTTTTGTTTGTTAATTGCATTCTGACACTGATATCTTAATATCAGTGTTCATCTTATTAAATCATCTAGTTCTTCTTGTTTCTAATTGAGAACAACTACATGTTTTTGAACTTGCAGATATTATATAAAAAAATAGATATTTCTCATTATCTATCTTTTTCAAGCATTTTTTGTTACACAACTAACAGATGTTTAATATCCTAGGTTGCTCACCATGGGGAAAATAGAAAGAATGGCCTTTTCTACCCTTATAAGGGTATGCTGTATGAGTACAGTGAAGAAAACTTAAAGGCATTAGATCAAGGGAAATTGCAGCCTGTGATGCTAAACATCAATCAGAATCCTGATAAATTTTATAGTTTATTAGACAGATTTCACACTAAGTCAAAGAAGACAAGCGCAGAAAAGGAATTCCGTAATCTCAAAAATTGCTTAGATATGAAAGTTAACACCAGTATTGCTGAACAGCAAAATGCACAGATGGCCCGGGACAGGTATTACAGTCTTGCATTAGTCCATTGGAGAATGGAGTTGTGAATCTATTATCTCTCAGTTTAATTTTGAATGTACATATCTTATCTTCGTAACTGCCAGTAGGTTATATTCACAACAAAAAAGTTTTATTTTTTAAAAATTGTTCATCGCAATTCCATTGCAATGAAAAATGTATTTATTACACTTATTAGCAATTCAGGCAGGAAGATTATTGATCTATTTCAGACATATGCTTTGTAAGTTGTATGTAGCATTTTATGGCAGTTATAGTTAGTTGATAGCTACATGGTTAAATAGAGTTGATCCTGCTCTAAGACCCTGCTATTCAGATGGATCATTTTAAAAAGTTGACAGAGAATTTTATTTGTTGATTTAAGATTAATCAAACATTATTACAGAAGTAAAAGCCAGTGCTTTATACCCATAAATCACACACTTTGTTGCCACATTTTTTAGATATTTCGTTTGTTCGATGTCTACTGTGAACTTTATGTTCATTAGTAGACTGACCTTGCATCTACAAAATGAAGCATTAAATAGTAAGTTTGTACATCATCTGAAACGTTGCTGTGGTGATTTTGAAGTTGATGAGCAAGGTATTGCAGTACCAGTTATCAAAGGTAAAATTAGGTACTCAGAATAGATAGATGTATAGTAATCTTGTTTGGGATCTTGCGTGGTTTTATTTAGTTCTTATCTTGAGACATTTCAGAGATTTGCTAGTTGTCATGTTCTATGGATTAAGTATTGTAGTAGCATTAAATTCTTAAATATTGAATGATCCTCTAAGCAATCATCATGGGCCAAATTTTGTAAATATTTACAAGTTTTAATATGCTTTAGATCGCAGACTGCTTTCGACACAGACAAAACAACAATCCACGGAGGTAAGTGTTTGTTAGCTGATTAAGTGTTATTTTTTACTTTTTACAATTTTTTTTACTAATGATATTATATTTTTGTTAAAACGGGAATGTTTCGTGTATTTTTGTTCAAAGGTGGTACTAATTTTGCTTTGTAGTCGATGCTTGTTGTTTTTTTCATTAGGACTTTTACAAGTATTCCACCAATTACATATAAAGTCCATACTCTGTTTTGAATTTTATCTTTTTCAGCTTTAAGGTGATTGCTCTTTGAGATTTTGACCAAATGTGTAAAACACATCTCCTCGTGGCATAGGCTTAGTGATTTGTATTCCGCCATACATAGCCTAATGTTATTTTGCCCAAGGTATTTTTCTTGTTTGAATAATTTCAATAAACAAGTAGCATTTTTTTCGGTTTTACTTATGGTAGATATCACCCTCACCAACTGCTGCGAAAGATGAAATGATAGAACTAGAACAACCTTTTGTTACAGGTCAGTGTACGGAAGCAATTTCACTCACTTAAATATGACTATTAAAATTTGAAAATCAATGTAAAGGCATTTTTCTTTACTCTCAAAGAGGTTTTAGTGGAAGTTTTTTTATATATAATTTTATATCTTAAATTTACTGTTTTTTATTGGTATGTATTCCATGTAATACATTGTTGTGCTGTTTAATGTGCATAAATACATGTTCATTTTTATAAATATATTTTTACTGTTTGCAGACTGGCATCTGCCTCATCCTGCTGATGACAAACTTCCATCGCAGACTTCTGTGGTAATTGGTTTTTGTCTGTCTTTTTATTTGATTTCCGATTTGAATAAAATTTCATATCTGATATAAAATTTAACAATTTATCTATATCTGATTTATAAATTTAACAATCTATTGAAGGAATGCTTCATTGCGGTATCTTCCTAGTTGTACATTTGGTCCTTACTTGTCAATATCAATGATATATTTAAATTTTAGGTAGCTGAAGTTTCATCGAAGAAGTTCGACGATAAGTCAAAAAGCAATGAGGACCTGATTGAAATGTAACTTTTTTATTCAAGTTTTAAATTTTTCTCACCATCATTTAGATAGCAGAGTCTCTTTCACCCTGAGCAAAGGTAACAAATTTACTCCAAAAGGCACTCATTTATCAAAAGCTACAAAGTTAGCAAATTTTTTTTATCTAATGTGGCGAATTTCACGGTTAATTGGTTAATTTTAACTGTTATTAGGAAGGCACTCTCGAATGAAAGAACTATTCGGTTGTTCAAGTTGGACGAAAAGGATCTGCCAGAAATCATAATTGCAGCATATGCTGAAAGAAAGATTTGGTTGAAAGGATTTATGTCCTTAAAACCACACTCCTGGATTATGGACGAAGTAAGTGATATCATTTGCAATTGAATATGTTGAAATAAATAAAATTTAATGGGCTAACACTTGCTTTTTTTTACATTTCCATTCCACTGTTCTGCCGGGTAAATGTAATATATTAATGATATTTTTCTAGTTGAATATATTTAAATTGATTATACTAATTAAGGATTGGAAAATAAATTTGAATTTTCATCAATACTAAATTCATTTTTTCTTCATCGTTATAGGCAATCGAAATTTACATAGCAATAGTGGCGTCGCAATGCACCAAAAAAGTTTACATCATGGACTCCTTTTTAACAAAAAACATCTTAGAGCGTAATATGTCGGTGCTTTCTCGGCAGTTGCTTTCAAAGGTTAGTTATTTTTTCTGCAAATTTTGGTAGGTAAAATTTTTTTTAATCTTGAGCTATTTTGTGACGAAGGTTTTTGCTCAAGAATATCCCATATTTGAAATGATCGTAATTTATTTGCAGGTATCATTCTCGGATTATGAACTTATTGTCGGGATATGGAATGTCAATAATGAACATTGGAAACTTTTGGTATTGCTAACTTCACTTTTCATTTTCTTGATTATCTACTTAAAACTTATAAAGTTATATGGAATTTTTTTGTTAGGTGATCAACACTACTGATTATATCGTTTATTTATTGGATCCTATTGGAAGTAACTTGGATGAGAGCAAACAAGCCGAAATAAGTGTTAGGTATAATTCCACTTTTCATACAATATGGCAGATTTGTTTACAATAATATCTGTTTGTCATTATTTACCCTGTTTTTCATATTTCAAGTGAATATCTGAAGTTAAGAGAGAGAATGGGAGTTTTGGAGACAGATCTACAGTTCAAAAGTGGGATAATTGAACATCCCAAACAGTCTGACGGTTTCAGCTGTGGGCTGTTTGTGATGAAGGTAAGGTTATAGAACTTATAGGGAATTTTGAGCCATTTTCAATAAGCATATCATAATACTGAATGTTTTTTATTCAGATTGCAGAAAGTGTATTAAATAATGGATTTGGTAACATTAGTTTTCGATCTACATTAAACGATTTAGCTCAGTACAGACACGATATAGCGGAAAAGATCTTGGAATTTTCTGGTATGTGTTATTCAATTGATAGTGTATGTAGTGTATTTATTCTTAGTCTATATGTATATTTGTCTTGAATGTTTTAGATATGAAAGATGTATGCAGCATATGTGGCAGCGCAATATTTCATGGAACTTGGGTTTGTTTTCACATTTATTTTTTAGGCTCTGAAAATTATACATCATGAATATTTATTGTACTAATGTTACCTACTTACTTCTGGTTGGTTGACATTTTGTTCCTTTGTCTAAATAATTTTGGCATCCCCGTAGTATGCAAGCAACGATGGCGGACACAGGAATGCAGTATGTGTAGTGGGTTAGGATGTAATTTTATTCTAATTTTTCTTATTTTAGTTCTATTTTGGGTTCGATGACTAGCCAAGTCCTGTAGTATCATTTGTACCTGAAATTATGGCCTAACCTGGTACACATACTACATTTTGGTGTGCAAGTAATATCTGCCATGAACGTATATAATTTGTAGCTACATTACAAAACAAAAGAAGAGTTGGGTAAAATACCACGGTGTGAAATGTGAAGTCATTTCTCAATATATCTTAACCAGGCTTGTTTGTTATCTTCCAATAAGTTAATTGTTCAAGTATTTTTCAATTCAAGTACTTCATTTAAATACTGTGAGGGCCAAAACAATATATGGTATCGATAAATTCCCTTTCGATTTCAAAATATTTTATGACTTTATGGACACCCTATTTATCTTCCGTAAAAACGCACCCATGCAACATAATATTAGGCTGATTAGAATGGTAAAATCCCATTCTTTAATAATAATTAAAGTAAGTGAACTTGAAATAGTTTGAACACTCTCACTTTTCTTTGACAGCTGGGTTGTGATGAATGCAACCGGTGGTATCATTCAGACTGTTTGGGATACTCAAGAAAGAAAGCAAATGAAATAATCAAAAAATGTTGGAGTTGCCTGCTATGCACAAGCCTGTCCACCAAATAAAAGGAAAGTTTTTGCAGTATAACAAAGAGTAAGTCTTGATGTGAGCATATGCTCGGATGGGTGCTGTATTTGTGATATTTCAGAGTGCATAGGTTGGGAGTGTGAAGCAGAGTTTTTGGACCTCCAGAAGTATGCGCACCAAGATAGCGCACAACCTGAACATGGTATGCGTGTACCGGTTAGAATTCATGTTGTGTGACATCTTCGTGCTCACACTTCTGGAGCACCGATTTTTTTATGAAACAGTCACCTTGAATAAAGCCTAATATTTCTTCATTATTCATCCTTTTTTGTTCCATGTATTTTCAAAAACGGGCAATTCCATCATTATTTTCATTTCTTTCATTACATCTGAGCAAATTTTTAAATTTCAAACTGACTTAAACCTAATGCTTTTTATAAGTATTCAAGTCGCATTGTTACTGGTTGTAGATGGCATTGGGGCTGTGACTCAGACACCATAGAGATGGCAATACTATGGAGTTCATTCACAAAACACCGTTGCTTGTGTTACAGAAAAAGGACACATATTTTGTCCTTTTGTCCATCCAACTTTGTGATGCTCCCAATCTCAAGATATTAAGACCAACTGACTACATTTTGCCATGTCAATAGGTAATATAATTCAGTTATAAAACCACAAAAAAATCAGGTGTAAAACTTTTGCCTGAATAGTAAAATTTTCAGTCGGAACCATAAATGGTTCGTTACAATCATGGTCCGATTTTTGTTTTAATGGAGGTTATATTACCGGTAAGTCAATATTCGACATATAATTTCCATTGGTTTAAACTTTTGAATTATAAATCCATGGCTAGATGACACACAACAGTCGCAATTTGGGCTTGCCAGATATGATGAAATATTGAATAATACTAACTTATTTCTGTTACATTGTTCAAGTTATAGGCTAATAAAAATGTTATTTGATCTGATAATTTTCCATTCGCTGTTGCTTTACATGTAAATACTATCATCTTTCCAAAAATACCATTAATCTTGAAATTATCTTCAACTGTTGCAATTTCGATATTGCTGTGCAAAAAGTAGATTGATCGGTCAGTGTTTGAATTAACTTGGGTGAATATAAACTAAATATCCAAAACCAGTATATTTCATGGTTAAGATCTTTCTGATTTATTAAGTTTGATATTTCTTGTGTACAATTTGACATTGAAAATGCTTAATATTAATTCACAATTTTTAATATTTACAACAGTTTATAAGTTGTCAAAACTCAAATATATTCTATGAAAATATTGGTTGTTTATGTAGGATTGAGCACTTCATTATTTTTTTAGCTTGTCCCTATTTCTAATTTATAATAATACCATCATGTATCAAGCTGTTTAAAATTTTTGAAAAAAAATTTTCTTTGTTTTTCCATTTTCACCATATCATCAAGCTATTTATTACTTTCATAATTGTTCAAATCATAATTTCTTTACCTGAACATGACTAATAAAAGCAAGCAGCATTATAGACTTGTGAGTAGCAATTATTTCATGTTTGCCAGCACTCAGTTAGATCTGACATGTGGTTGTGTTAGAAGAGGATTCCCCATCGTTATAGAGAAGATCATGATTAATTATCTACTCTATTCTGACCAAGACTGCGTAGCGCCACATTCACCTTTTACCAGCGAGATGTTAGTGAACGATGCGAGGCTATATTAAAACTTAACTTAGATAGTTTCTTTGGTGTTGGTCCCAGAATGTCATATAAAATGAAATACATTTCTGTAACACTTTATTTTGTAATTGCCCCATCGGTGGATAAAAAATCAAACATTGATACTGCGAAGAATGGGTGAAATGATCTTTTTCATTTGAATAATAAAATGGAAGTCACCATCAACTCACGTAACAGTTGGAAAGTCCTTATTTTTGCTAATGTTGAAGTTCAGAAATGTAATAGTCCAAAAACACATTAAAGCAATACTTTGGATACAGAGTATAACATATATTTACGGACAGAATTGCGAAAAATCAGTGTGAGTGCATAAAAAATTAAAATAGATTTGAACAAGTGACAACTACACCAGCAACTTATGTCATCTTGTTTGAGAAACATGGCAGCAAACAAATACATCTCATTCAACATATTCAGCAATTCCTATCTAAGCACATCAGCATGCTAGCGAGTCCATACTTTCCATTCCATATTTTTATGCTTCATCAAGATAACTTTCCTCCATGATTCCTGGTTCTGGAATTTAACTGCAGATCATTGCTTCATATTTTAAACACGCTCTGGAAACAGAAAAAAGATCTGATTATATCGAAGGCAGTTAATATTTCATTGCATAATTAATATTATAAGAGAACTATGCTCAAATATATGGACACGTAATGCCACCCAGTGACAACAATTTTGATGACTTCATAGCGAAGATAGCCTTCTGGAGAAAAATTTTATCTTCAACCACAAAAAATTTCAAAGCAATCGGCCCAGTATTTGAAGAGAGAAGCGACTTCTTAAAAACGTGTCAAAGAACAAGAACATCGATAAGAACAACAACAACATAATATTGAAACGATCGCTATGTCCACTACGTGTCCAATAAACATTATGTTGATTCTGTTGAAGCATGTACGACTCAAATGAGTATTTATACAGATTGACTCAAAAAATATATACAAACCACCGGAATGCAGCGCGTAAGACATAAAATGCATATAAACGTAACTTGCCGTTGAGGAAAAGAGGCCGTATTTTTTATATGTTAATGCTTCCAATGAATCTTTTCCCTTGGGATCTGCACATAATGGTCATCACCAAAATTTTCAATCGAATTTTAAAACATTTCTCAATCAAAGATTTTCTGTAAAGTAATCAAAATATGGTAAAGAAACCGGTACAACAGTCTGACAGTTGCTGAAAAGCTAAACCTGTTAAAGTAAAGTATTGCAGTATTGTCGGTACCGGTATCTCAGAATCGAAAGATGTCAGTAAAATATACTAACATAGATATATAGAAAAACAACCAATACCAGTTTACTTTTGCTCCTCTGCCCAAAACATAATGACACAAAGCTCAGCACAAAAATATACTATTCCGCCAACCCCAATAATAAATACTTTTTCATGCTACCACCAATATAGAAAAAATCTGTACATATATACACCGGCACCTATTTCTGTATTGGGATACGGCTAATATAAGTACCGGAACCTCTCTCTTACTTAATGGGCCGCGACCCATAACTTGATGGGCCGCGGCGCATTACTTAATGGGCCGCGGCCCATTGATTGAAGGGCCCCGGCCCATGTCTTGAAGGGCCGCGGCCCATGCCTTGAAGGGCCGCGGCCCATGGGCCATGGCCCATTGATAATGGGCCGCGGCCCTATTGGATGGGCCGTGGCCCCGGCCCATGGGCCGTAGAAGAGTCACCACCCCTGTAGCTGTTTGTTCCACGATGCATTCCACCCCGTCCACGTCCTCCTCGACCTCTCATTTTGATGTTTTGTCAAGTTAATTTAGAAAATTTTATATTTAAATTCCTAGACTTTTCAGATTTGAAATAATAGGATTGAGGAAAAATCATGAAATTGAATGACCGGCACTGGTACCGGTAGCTAATGTATTGGACTCTGGAACCAAATACAGGAATACCAGAATACCGTAAACTATACACAAATTCAATAGGGTAGAATTCTTGAAAGCTACCGTATCGGTACTCTGGTGGCTACTGTTAGCAAAACCCCTAGCCTATGTCATTCGAGAGTGAGAAATTAATTTTTCAATAGACGCCTAATTACGCCTTTAGTTCACGTAATATTCTACATGAGCGGCCACTAACTTTAGCAACAAGCGCGGAGAAAACGAGAAATCGAGACTACGGGAAGTCATCCACTGAAAAAATGAATAAATGTACAGAAATTATGGCAACGATTTTTTTTTATTCATTCACTAATATAATTCTGGAATAGAATTATTGCTTCGGCTAATTTTTTGCAGTATATATATTACATAACGTCAAGATTTTACATGGAAAACGTTTCGTGATATTTTTCAAATGTGGCAACTCAATGCAGAGGTTGATCACGTGTGCCCGGAACTTATCGACATCGTTTATTAAAAAAAGAGGTGACACTAGTTGTCCTGAGCTTTTGTTCCTAAGAACAACACTCAAAGTCACTTTTGCTACCAGAAAAGTGGGATTATCAGTACTATTCTAAAACGACATACTCACAGACGCTATGGGACCGGTATTAAATTTGAAATACGCCAATGGGTTTTGGACCGCCATAAATAAAGTTTTGTGCCAAAACACTAGTGTCGGTACCGGTACCACCGTACAACTGGAGAATGAATGAGCTAGATTACACAGCCAATTTGTCGGCATTGCAGTCTGGCACTGGTGTGATTGTGGATATGCTACCTGTACCGTGCCGGTATACCGTAACCATACCGGCATTATGCGGCGGTCATACCAGACCCATGTATGCTAAATGAAATAAACAATTACCGGTACCGATATTAAATTAATTAAAGTAACAGCAGAAGTGATCTAACAATACGATTTTACAGTATAGTAATAGCCTACTGTATTAATTTTTCATCTATCTGTCAATCAATAATGCCTTCACATTGGAATTGTTGTGTGGCAGGATGCACCTCAAATTGGAAGCAGTATTATTATGTTCCAAAAAGAAAACTAATTCTAAGATATTATATAATATTCTTAAAAACGGATGGAGTCAATTGGCGCCTCCGGAAGTCGATATGCTCAAGGCATTGGAGCACACCTCGACGGAACTTTAAACATTTGCCAGATATCAGAATACCTGGCAGTAACAGTGTGAATTTAAAAGAGGAAGTTGCTAAAGCAAGGGCCATTTGTACGCAAAAGTACAATGAGGCAAGAAATCTTCTTCAAAAAGTGAAAAAATCAAATCTTGAGTCAAAAATGGCTAGCATACTTTGCAATATGGAGAATTTGAAAATGGAAAACCAGAAAATTAAATCAGAAAGTGCTCGTTCGAAGTCTGAACTTGAGGAATTACAGTTGCTCCACAAAATTCGAAATGACCATTCATACGGAAAAGTTCGATAAGGCAAGAAATATTTTTCAAAACGTGAATAAATCAAATCTTCAGTCAAAAATGTCTAGCATACTTTGCAATATGGAAAAATTGAGGACGAAAAACCAGAAAATTAAATCAGGAAATGCTTGTTTGAAGTCTGAACTTGAGGAATTGCAGTTGCTCCACAAAATTCGAAACAAAAAATAACAGATGTTTGATAGATGCGACTTATCAATTTGCCTGGAACCATTTCTTCACCTAATGTAATCCGGAAATTGCAGAAATGCTAGGAGTAGCCAAAGGAATGCTACTGAACGAAATGAATTCTCGGCTGTAATGGTAATATGCCGCCATGTTCTACCTCTTGCAATAGTTGCCTGTATGCTACAGGTTACCCAACCCACACATGGAATATTTGGAGCTTGGATAACATTTGGTTATGCTCTTTTTAGGGTACTCCCGTAGTATGTGAACCAAGATGGCGGACACCGGAACGTAGTATGTGTACCAGGTTATGGTTAGGCCATGATTTCAGGAACAATGATGCCTAGCCAATTCAAAGCTCCTGGTCTTGAGCACGTAACACTTATACTTGATGCAACAGAATTTCGTGTTGGTAGTTTTCCCGACCTGAATTTGAATACATTATTCCAGGGTGGTCCAAGGCTGTCGGCTCCGGGGGCCACAAAATTATTTTTGCATTGTTTGCGGCCACAATCTAAAACATACAAAAACCACCAGAAAACTTACTAAAACCTACAAAAGTCTTTTAATATCTACATTGATGTATGATTTCAACTCTTCAAACACAAATGTAAGAGCTATGGAACGTCAATAAGATTTACAAAGAAAAATCCTAACTTTGGAAAATGCTCATTGTTTACAAGATTCGAAAATGCTGTTTTAAATTATGCCCACATATAAATCAATCATTGTGTTATT